ACAGAAATCAAGTTCACAGAAGTGATGAAAGTGCCTTATATCCAACTGGATATCAGAGCCTGAGGATAGACAAAGGGAGCAGAGGGGGTGGAGGAGTTGCACTGCTCATTAAAAACCAGTGGAATTTTGAGGAGTTGGAAAGAGAAGACAGAAATGAAGCAAGGGACTAAATATGAGAAACACTTCAGACTGGAGGTCTTAAGGTGGTAATTGCAGTGATGTATAACCCACCAGAGAATATCAGGAGACACGGACAAGAATATGATGAGAGTAACAGGGCAATGGGTGACACTGGTTGAAGCGGCCAGAAAGGCCCACTAGAAGGGCTACTAGTTGTGGGTGACTTCAATCACAAGGAAAGTGACTGGGAAATTTTGGAGCCACATGGAGGCCCAGAAACATGGAGGGCTAAGATGACAGAGGTGGTACTGGAAAACCTTATGCATCAACACATTAGGAAAACTATCAGAAAGAGAAAGAAAGAAAGGAGAGAATAAACCAGCAAGACTGGACCTAGTATTCACCTTGAGCGGTTCAGACATTGAGGACATCATATATGAAATGACCCTCAGAGCTAGTGATCATGTGGTCCTGAGCTTCGAATACAGAGTAAACTTACAAGTGCAGAGGGAAGCATGAAGTGCAGGATGAGTGAAGCCAAACTACAAAAGAGGGGACTACACAGGCATGAGGAATTTCCTGCAGAAGCTTCAGTGGAAAAGAGAACAGGTGGGAAAATCAGTAAAAGAAATAATGTAATATGTGACAACAAAATGCAAGAAAGCAGAGGAGAGTTTCGTACCCAAGGTCAACAGAAGTAATGGTAAGGCCAGGACGAGCCCTTGGTTCACCCAAAGGCATAAAGAAGCCAAAATTAAATGCACTAGAGAATGGAAGAAGTATAAAAAACAAAAGAGCCAGGAAAATAAGGATATTACTCGAAGAGCCAGAAAAGAATATGCACAGATGAGAAGGAAGGCCCAGTGGCAACACGAAAATGACACAGCTGCGAAAGCCAAGTCTGGTACGAAGCTGTTGTACAGTCACATCAGGAAGAAAACAACAGTCAAGGCTCAGGTAATCAGGCTGAGGAAGGAGGGAGACCACAAGAAACGACCAGGAAGTATGTGAAGAGCTCAACATGAAATTTAGAGAAGTATTTACAGTGAACACAGATAGGACACCAGAAAGCCGGAGTGATGGGGTTCACCATCAAGTACTGGACACAATACATAAGAACATAAGAACATAAGAAAGGAGGAACACTGCAGCAGGCCTGTTGGCCCATACTAGGCAGGTCCTTCACAGATCCATCCCACTAATAGAATATCTGCCCTCATAAGAACATAAGATCATAAGAAATAAGGAACACTGCAACAGGTCTACCGGTCCATGCGAGGCAGCTCCAATTCTCCCCACCGGCTTAAGCCAGTGCCTTGACCTAGTGAAGTCAGACACGTCACTTAAGGGATTAACACTGTGTCCGACCTAGTAGCTAGTCAGGTCCATTTCACATCCACCCACACCACTCATAAGAACATAAGAACACAAAACTGTTTTAAAAAGCAATCCTTAACAGCATCAAGAAAGTCACTTGACTCAATATTTCCTGTCATATTGTTCCAAACAATTTGTCTAAAGTTAAAATCTCCCATTAACACAACATTTTCATATCTAGATGCCTTATGAATTTCGTCCCATAACAGCTTACTGCCCTCCCTATCAAGGTTTGGGGCCCTATAAATCACACCTAAAATTAATTTGTCACGACCCTCGAGAAACTGTAGCCAAACAGATTCTGTGTTCGATGTTTCTAATCTTATATCATGTCTAAAACAACAGTTTAAATTATTTCTTACATATATCGCCACTCCACCACCCTTCCTGTTGACCCTATCAGTGGGGAATAGTTTATAACCCTCTATGTTGCGTTCAGAAGGCATTTCTCTTTCTTTCAGGTTGAACCAGGTCTCTGTTATACCAATAATATCTATATTATCCGCACTTGTAAGTAATCTTAGCTCATCTATCTTATTTCTTAGACTCCTACTATTTGTATAGTAAACTTTAAGGGAGCTAGTCACACGTTGCCCTCTACTATCTCTCTTTGTTCATTGATCAATTGATTTGCCTTTACTAGCAACTTTATTTTGAATATTGTTTTTTAAACATACCCCTGAGGTATCCCGGTAATATCTGCTGTTTTCAACCCTAGTACTGCAACCTGATTGTTTCCCACAAACACCCATACCTCTATAATCTATCAGTTTAAATTCCTTGACAAGTCATCAATTACCCCTCAGTCGAATTGGCTAATGCAACCACTCCAGCCCCAGAGAGATGATCCCCATCCTTTGCAAACATATCACGTTTGCCATAGAATATGTCCCAGTTATCAATGAATGGGATTGCAAGTTCCTTGCAGTACCTATCTAGCCAACAATTTATATCAATTGCCCTAGACATCCATTCATTGACCACTCCCTTTCTAGGCAAGATGCTACATATGACTGGGATCCCTCCCTTAGACCTGACTACTTCTATGGCTGACCAGTACTTATCCAGCAACTCCTGTCTCCTGTCCTTCCCAATGTCATTACCTCCAGCACTAAGACAGATAATGGGCTTGTTCCCATTATGTGACATAATATTATCCAACTTGCTGACTATGTCACCAACACCAGCTCCTGGAAGGCACACCCTCTGTCTGACCTTTCTATCTCTGTTGCAGAAAGCACGGTCCATATATCTTACCTGAGAATCACCTACAATTAAAACATTCTTACCTTGATTAGCAGGGGAATCAGTGGTACCTTCATCCACACTAACCACTGAAGTGCACGCGTCCTGGAGAACAGAGAATCGATTTCCTACCTTCACATCTTCTCTGTTAACCCTCCTTATCTTCCTGTTTCCTGAACTGTGAACCACTTGCCACTTAAATCGGCTGCCACTCTCACTGCTCTTGTCCAGTTCCTCCTTACCAGATAAATCCTTCTCACACTCACTCCCAAACTCATCTAGGCGAAGCTTCAGCCTCCTATTTTTCTCCTGAAGAAGTAGAACCTCCTTCTTCATCACCTGAACCTGAGGTTCTAAAACACTACAACAAGCCATGGTGCTTGGTAACACCCCATGCAAACTCCCAGAGAACTTAGGACAGGTATGACCGCAGGTGACCACTGACCTCAGCGTACCGAGGAGGAAGTGAAAAGGCTGCTAAACGAACTAGACGCTTCAAAGGCATGGGATCGGATAACAACTCTCTGTGGGTCCTGAGAGAGGGAGCAGAGGTGCTCTGAGTACCATTCACTAACAATAGTCTTCAACACATCTATCGAAACAGGGCGACTACCTTAGGTATGGAAAACAACAAATGTAGTCCCATTTTTTAAAAAAAGGAGACAGACACCCAGCATTAAAACTACAGACCAGTGTCATTGACATGTATAGTTGCCAATATAGTTGCTGATCCCTGTGATGTATAGCATATCAGTATCATCCATGTGCTTTAGATAGGAGATCCCTAGGCCTGTGACTGTATGACGTCACGGGATGCAGCTTGAGTGTCAGGCGAGCTACCTCGGTCTCAGTCGGCGTTTGACACAGGCTAGGACAAGGCAGAGGCTGGGCTCCATCTCCCATCATCACAGTCTGACAATATATCGTTACCATCCAACCAGTGTGTCTACCTTCAACCCTCGATATCTCCTTTTAAGAACCCCTACAATATAGTATGCAAAGTCATGGAGAAGATTATCAGAAGAGTGATGAATGAGCTTATCAACGACAACCAGCACGGATTCAGGGATGGGAAATTCCGTGTCACAAACCTACTGGAGTTATATGGCAAGGTGACAGCACTGAGACAAGAGAAAATGGGGTGCGTTTTCTTGGACTATAAGAAGGCTTTTGACAGTTCCATGCAAGGGATTAGTGCAAAACTTGGAGAATCAGGCCAGTATAACAGGGAAAGCACTGCAATGGATCAGAAAATATCTAACAGGAAGGTGTCAGCGAGTCGTGGTACGTGACAAGGTGTCAAGGTGGGCGCCTGTGATCAGTGGGGTTCCACAGGGGTCAGTCCTAGGACAAGTGCTGTTTCTGGTATACATGAACGACATGATGGAAGGAATTGATTCAGAAGTGTATCTGTTTGCAGACGATGTAAGAAGAATTCACTTGGATGAGGACTAAGCAGGACTACAAAGGGATCTGGACAGGCTGTAAGCCTGGTCCAGCAGCTGGCTCCTGGAGTTCAACTCCACCAAGTGCAAAGTCATGAAGATTGGGAAAGGGCGAAGAAGACCATAGACAGAGTACAGTCCAGGAGGCCAAAGACTGCAAGCATCTCTCAAGGAAAAGGATCTTGAGGTGAGTATAATATTGAGGACATCTCCTGAGGCGCACATAAACCGAATAACTGCTGCAGCATATGGGCGATTGGCAAACCTAAGAATAACGTTCCAACACCTCAGCAAAGAATCGTTCAAGACTCTGTACACCGTGTACGTCAGGCCCATATTGGAGTATGCAGTACCAGTTTGGAACCCATAGGTTAAGGGAAATCTACCTGACAACACTGGGGGACAGGAGGGATAGGGAGGACATGATAATGATATATGAAATATTGATAGGAATTGCCAATATGGATATGGACATGATTTTTCAGAGATGGGACACATCAACAAGGGGTCACAACTGGAAGATGAAGAATTAGATGAGTCACAGGGATGTTAGGAAGTATTGCTTCAGTTACAGAGTTGTCAAGAAGTAGAACAATCTGGAGAGTGATGTAGTGGAGGCAGGATCCATGCATAGCTTTAAGAAGAGATACGATAAAGCTCATGAAACATGGAAAGAGTAGGCCTAGTAGCGACCAGCGAAGAGGCGGGGTCAGGAGCTGTGACTCGATTCTTGCAGCCAGAAATAAGTGAGTACAAATAGGTGAGTACACACACTCAAACAACGCATATTACTAACTCACCACTATCCCACAGGTATGCAAGGAGACAGGTTTAGATCAGCCATCAGAGACGAACAGCATCCGGAGCCAAGAGTTCCTAATCAACAAGATGTTTAATCTGGTGTGGTGCCCAGTGTACAAGGCGGCCTCCTCCACCTGGCTATGGAACTTCAACCTCCTCGCTGGCTACACCCAGCAACATCTCCTTCACGACATTCATCGACCCCTTCCCTTGGCCAGGAACAGGTACCCCAGGTGAGTGATTCTTGCTGATCCCTGCTCCTGGCCATAAATAGGTATCCTAGGTGAGCGATACTTGCTGACCTCCCTTCTCCTGGCCAGGAACTAGTTCCCCAAGTAACTGATACTTGCGCACCCTTGCCCTTGGCCAGGTATAGGCACCCCAGGTGAGTCATACTTGCTGACTCTTGCCTCTGGCCAGGAACAAGTATCCCAGGTGAGTCATACTTGCTGACTCTTGCCTCTGGCCAGGAACAAGTATCCCAGGTGAGTGATACTTGCTGACCCTTGCTCCTGTCCAGTTATAAGTACCCTAGGTGAGTAATACTTGCTAACCCTTGCCCCTGGCCAGCTATAAGTATCCCAGGTGAGTCATACTTGCTGATCCTTGCTCCTGGCCAAGTATAAGGTCTCCGGGTGAGTGATACTTGCTGACCCTTATGCCTGCCCAGGTATAGGTACCGCAGGTGAGTGACTACTTGTTAACCCTGGCACCTGCCCAGGTGTAAGGTACCCCCAGATAAGTTATTCTTGCTGATCTTTGCCCCTGGCCAAGAACAGGTACCCCAGGTGAGGGATACTTGCTAACCCTTACCCCTGGGAAGAGTCAGCAAGTGTTGTAGATGAATCTATTTTACTCGCTGGTGTAAAGAATTCATCCTACCACTGCAATTGCTACCTCACACCTTTGCCTCTGTTTTTATCCTTTATGTAATCAAAATAAACAAAGAATCCTTCGAGATAATGAATTGTAGGTTCTAGCTCTACCCTTTCGTAATGGTTTTCAGACTGCTTTGTGTGTCGTGTTGATGTATTCAGCAGTGTATGTTGTGATGTACTGGTGTGTCCTATGGAGATGTGTTGTGCAGATGCATGCTGAAATTATGTGTTCTGTAATGATATGCTACGATGATTCATTTTGCAGTGACGGGTGTAGTGGTTTACCTGGAGTTTACCTGGAGAGGGTTTCGGGGGTCTACGCCCCCGCGGCGTGGTCTGAGACAAGGCCTCATGGTGGATCAGGGTCTGATCAACCAGGCTGTTACTGCTGGCCGCACGCAAGCTGACGTACGAACCACAGCCCGGTTGGTCAAGGTACTGACTTTAGGTGCATGTCCAGTGCCTTCTTAAAGACAGCCAGGGGTCTATTGGTAATCCCCCTTATGTATGCTGGGAGGCAATTGAACAGTCTTTGGCCCCGGACACTTATTGTGTTGTCTCTCAGTGTACTCGTGGCGCCCCTGTTTTACATCGGGGGAATGTTGCATCTCCTTCCGAGTCTTTTTTTTTCACAGGGAGTGATTTTCGTGAGCAGGTTTGGACCTTCCAAGTGTATATTATCATATATATCTCTCGCCTGCGTTCGAGGGAATACAGATCAAGGACTTTCAACCGTTCCCAGTAGTTTAGGTGCCTTATCACACTTATGTGTGCTGTGAAAGTTCTTTGTACACTCTCCAGGTCTTCAATGTCGCCAGCCTTGAAGGGGGCCATTATTGTAAAGCTGTATTCCATCCTAGAGAGCACAACAATTAAGATTTATTATTTGTCCAGTGTATTATGAAATTCTTCCCAAATTCAATTAATTATAAATGGATCTAATTTATATAAACCAAAGGAAATATTCATATTGTTGTCAAAACTGCTTTTTATGAAACAAGATTCAATTATATTCCTGTCGACCATGGACTTGCTAGATACAACTTTCTCAAGTTTTTGAAAATCAATTGGATGGTTAAAATCTCTCACATGAATAAATAGAGCATTGGAATCTTGTCCAGTTCTAATGCTATATTTATGTTGTTTTAATCGTAGTCCGAGACTTTTACCAGTTTGACCGTAATAAACGTTATCGCAAATTTTACAAGGAATCTTATAGACACATCCGTCAGTGGATGCGTCTATAAGATTTTAACCATCCAATTGATTTTCAAAAAGTTGAGAAAGTTGTATCAAGCAAGTCCATGGTCGACAGGAATAGAATTGAATCTTGTTTCATAAAAAGCAGTTTTGACAGCTATATGAATATTTCCTTTTGGTGACGTGTACTTAGCTCAGTGAGGACGTTAGTGTACTCTCCTGGACTGAACCAAGATGCCCTCTATCGAGCAACTTTACCAGCAGCTTAAGGAAGAATTGAGGGTAGCGAAGATGGAGATATGGCGATTGACTGAGGAAAACAAGAGGATTCGTAGTAGTCCTCCTGTTTTGAGTCTTCAGGTCAAGAAGGGAACCTGGACAGTGGCTGGACAGCATGGAACGAAGCTGACGATCAAGAAGACGAATGGAAAGGCAGAAACGATGAAGAAGAAAGAGACTACTGTGGAAACTGTTGTGGAAACATCTAATGCATCCTCCGTGCTACCCGACGAATGTGAGTCGACTACTGAGAATGTCACGACTAACGAAACCAAGGAAGATAAGAATATTGTTGTTGTTGGGGATAGCTAAGTTAGGTACATGGCTAGGGCGTTCTGCTTGAAGGACAGTAGTAGGAGACAGAGAGCTTGCTTTCCTGGGGCTGGGATGGAGGATATTGTTAGCCGGCATGACAACATCATGAACGGTAATGGGATCAATCCGATTATCTGCCTCAGTGCTGGAGGGAATGATGTAGGCAAGCGTAGAAGTGAGGATTTAGTTAGAAGGTACAGGACAGCAATGGACATAATTAGGAAGAAGGGGGGGGCGCCCTGTTATATGTGCCATTTTGCCAAGAAGAGGTGTTGGTAATGAATGGTTGTCCAGAGCAATTGGTATTAATTGTTGGCTGGATAAACACTGTAAGGATAATGCAGTACCATTCATTGACAACTGGGACAACTTCTATGGCCGAAATGACATGTATGCCAGGGATGGGGTTCACTTATCCAGGGCAGGTGTGGGTTTTCTTGCTAGCTCAGTTGAGGAGGTTGTTAGGGCTTTAATCTAGGATTAGTTAGAGGTATGGGTTTAGAAATGATAAATAATGAGTATGGATATATTGACTTATGCTCTGATATTAAGAATCTTAATAGTAACAGTCATGGAGTAACTCTGGGTAATGATAATTTCAGAAATTGCGTAAAAACAAAGATGAATAGGAAAAATGTGCAGAAGAAAAAACATATGATGGTATTTTATGTTAACAGTCGAGGTGCAAGAAATAAGATTAATGAACTACGTTTGGTAGCATGTGCTGGGAACTTTGATGTCATTGCATTAACTGAAACATGGTATGATTTAAAGAGTCCGGATATGATTGCTGAGTGTGGTATTCAAGGGTTTAAGCTGTTCCATGTGGATAGATATAATGGGAAGGGGGGAGGAGTTGCATTATATGTTCGAGAAAATATAAACTGTTGCATAAAAACAGGTATGAAAATAGATGGGACAGTAACAGAATCTGTTTGGGTAGAGTCTGTAGAAGGTCAAGAAAAACTAATTCTAGGTGTAATGTACCGACCTCCAGGCTTGGATCACGATAGAGGGAGACTTCTTTGGAACGAAATTGTTAGGGCTTCTAGACACAATAATATAGTGATAGTAGGGGATTTTAACTTTAGTCAAATTGACTGGAATTCTTTGACCGGTAATCTGGAGTCCAGTGACTTTATTAAAACAGTTCAGGACTGCTTTCTGAATCAGTGTGTAACAGAGCCTACCAGGGGTAATAATTTGCTAGACCTAGTCTTGTCAAACAAGGAAACGCTCTTAAATAATCTGGAGATCACTGAAGAGCTTGGCGCAAGTGATCACAAATCCATCACCTTTAGCATTAACTGGGAATACAAGAATAATGATAATACGGTAAAAAAAAATCCCTGATTTTCTTTCTGCCGATTATAGTGGACTTAGGGAACACCTGTCAAATCTCGATTGGGGTTATCTAGCTAATGATTTTATTGACGATGATCATACTTATGATTACGAAGGGATCTCCATTTATGATTTTTTTCTTAATAATGTACACCGTGCTCAGAGTATATTCATTCCCCAGAGAGAAATTAGGTCTAATAATAACGATCCCAAATGGATTAACAGGAGACTAAAGCATCTATTAGGGGAGAAAAGGGTAATTTATAGGAGCATCAGAAAAGGAGAGGTTAACCTTACTGACCAGTATGTTCAGCTTAAAAGAGAAGTAAAAAAGGGGATTAGAAAGGCTAAACGTGACTATGAAATTAGAGTTGCTAATGAATCAAAGACTAATCCAAAGGGGTTCTTTCAAGTGTATAGGACGAAGGTGAAGGAAAAAGTAGGACCTCTGAAAATTGGGAATGGACAGCTGACGGATAACGAACTAGAAATGTGTTCTTTATTTAAGGACTATTTTTTGTCAGCTTTTACACAAGATGTAAATGAGATTCCAGAAATTAACAATTATTCAATTCCTGATGAATTTAAATTAACTAATATTACTGTCACGAGGGACATGGTAATCACACGGGTAGACAAAATGAAGCAGAATAAGTCCCCGGGACCTGATGAGTTGTTTTCCAGGATACTTAAGGAATGCAAGATGTAGCTTAATCAGTCATTAACGAGTGTGTTTAATGCGTCCCTTCTTACCGATGTTGTGCCAAAGTTGTGGAAGATGGCTGTGGTTCCCATATTCAAATCAGGGGATAAGTCCATTCCTTCAAATTACCGTCCAATCAGCCTGACATCTATAGTGGGCAAGTTATTAGAATCAATTATAGCTGACATTATTAGAAGTCACCTTGAAGAGCATAATTTGATTAATGAATCTCAGCATGGGTTCACGAGAGGTCGTTCCTGCCTGACAAATTTACTGACGTTTTTCAATAGAACATTTGAGGCAGTGGACAGTGACAAAGAATATGATATTGTTTATTTGGAATTTAGTAAAGCTTTCGATAGAGTACCTCACAAGAGACTCTTAAGAAAAGTGGCAGCTCATGGTATAGGAGGTAAAGTTCTAACAAGGAGAGAGGCATGGCTTACCAATAGAAAGCAGAGAGTTTCCATTAATGGGGTCAAATCTGAATGAGGATTAGTCACTAGTGGCGTTC